AGCAAAGGACAAATCTGGTTTCTAAAAGCCTTATAAAATTTATTATTGAACCCATCAGTCCCAAGACTTTTATTATTCTTCAAACGTGAGATAGCCTCATTGATCTCTTCTGCAGTAATGGGAGCATCTTTTCCCTCGAGTCTGTAATGCTCAACTGAGGTAGGTTTATTTCTTTTAGGTATGCCTCCATTTCTTCTATATCAGTTGCTCTTTCGGTTTCTGAACATAACTCCTTATAATATTTTGCAAATGCTTCTGCTATTTCCTTAGGTTTAAAGATGAAGGACATATTAAAACCCTTAGTCCTAATTTTTTGAACTGTTAAGCCCCTTCTTTTTTCTCAGATGAATAAGAGTAATTTTCTCGCTCTAGAGCTGTACTCATAATAACTTGGATTTGAAAAATCTTAAGTTCCTCTCTGTTTCAGTAATCAGTTAATCCAATTCCCTTCTTTCTTCAGTAAATTAGGTTATTTTCTGCTTGTGTTGTTTTTCCAACATAGATATTTTTTCTTCTAATTCGATATGCTTAGCTATTTTTATTTTCTTTAAGGCACACGCGTAGGCAATTATCCTACTCCCCAGCACTGTTTTTGCAGCCTCCTACAGGGTGACCGCTGATACATCTCCAGTATCATTTATATCTAAATATTGTCTAAATTCAGACTCAATATAAATTTGAAATGCTGGTCGCCCTATCAAAGACGTGTGTAACTGCCAAATGTTAGATGAAACTTGCCTTCCAATGTTCCATACCACTGATATGGGTGCGTGATCTGATAATGTAATGTTATGAATTTTACACTCCATAAATCTCTGTTTCATCCCCGGAAGAAAAAAAAAAGGCTATCCTACAGTATGAAGCATGTGAGTGAGAATAAAATATATAGTCTCTATCTCTATGATGTAAGTGTTTCCAGATGTCAATCATCCCTAATTCTGCACAATTATTCTTTAGGGCCTTAATTGCTTAAGGATAGGAGTTTATGCGAAGAGGGATTTCTGT